AAATTCCAATGTGGCTCTGCCACGCTGGCGACCTTGAAATTCGGGAGATTCACAAAAACAAGGAGTAGGGGTGATGAAAAAAAAAACTGGCGCACAAGTCTTTTTTGTTTTTAAGGTCAGCAGAAATATAATTCACTACTGCAAATTATTATTAACAGTAAATTTTTAGATGTCAGTGATCTTACCAGTACTCACAATTTTGCGGGGCATACACGTACTGCGACTTCGCGAACAGAACTTTCCAACTCTTAATACACTTTTCCGCGAGACACTAGTGTACTGTGGCGAAGGTGGCTTAAAAGGTCAGTCAACAGGCTGACTTTTTTTTACAGCCACCAAACAAGCTCGGTAATTCGTACAGTAGACAGCAGCGATCACAATTTCTGAATATTACGGAGCTGTGGGTCGCACATAGCCTTCATTTCAAAAAACAATTCCCGCGCTCCTTTCTTACGCCTGACCAATTCTCCTTGCACGGGAAGTGACGACATCTCAGCGATCGGCAACGGGACGCAGCAAGCAGCTTGTCGATCGGTCTAAACCAGGTCTCAATAAACAGTAGCTGAAGTACACAATAGTTCTTATGACAGAGCTATTCAATCATATGAGTTGCGAAACTCCCCATAGGTACCATGCATCAAAATCGGATCACTTCACTGACCCCGTTTTTGGGAGCGAGCAGATAGTCGCACCACCTGTTGAGCAGCACACCCACTATTAAGCGTATTATTTGTGTTTTGTGTTGAGCCCTCCCACCTCAGGGTGACACCGGGCATTGCTCGGGGCACTGTTTCAAAATAAACGTTTACTTCTCTCTCTTGTGTTGCTGCTCCCAGATGGCGCGACAATCTGCTCTCAAAAAATCGAACTCCAGAAAAATCGGGCCAGCTTCATGTCCAGGTTTTGGAAGGCAGTTCTGCTGCAAGTCGTTGTGGGCTGCAAGTCGAACGAGTGGGCTGGGGAGAATCATCGGCACCAGATAAACAGTAAACAAACAGGCATCGCAGCAAGCAGAAGTGCGTTGGGACTGATCGAGTTCGCCGACGGTGTCAATTGCTGACGGCTTGCCACATAGCTGGTGTGGGCGAAGTCGTGACGACGGGCCACACCTTCCCCTTCCTCTGAAGAAGGGTGACGAGGCCACGTGAAAATTTGAAACCAGCTGAATGCATTGTTTTAGCCCCTGTAACTTCCTTAGTATAGCACGTATTCGCAAAATTCTTGTGGCAGCATGTTCACGAAGTGCACATATTTCTCTTTGCAACAATTTTTGGACCTTGGGGTAGTTACTGGTCTTTCAAGCAACGTTCAGCGCGGGTTAAAACAAGGCCAAGCAATTTTCTAACCGCTAGCCTCTCCCAAAATCCCAGCAACACGTTTTTTTTTTCTTTTTCTTTCATGGAGAATATTAGGTTTAGGGCACAACATCTCAACTCATTTGTAAGGCACATTTCACCAGATAAAGTAACAACGGCGCACGCCCGTTTGCCCGGCTACTGGGCCCGATATCTTTAGCCGAGATGACGCAACTTTACGGAAGAAAAATGCTTACGCGCTATTGCTATGGCAATTGATGTGATGGCGGGCAACGACGGCATTTGCATCAAGTCTATCTTATTTGCACGCAGAAAACACGGCTTACGTTCTTAACAGACCTTTACCACGTTTGCTGACCAGGAAACTTATATTTCCCACAAAGCGTTGGTGGCTACAGCAATGCATTTTTTAAAACACGAAAGTGTTTTCTGCCAAGCTCCACCACGGCTCTGCTGACGTATTTTAGTCACGGATTTGACGTCAAATATATTTTAAGATTGCAAAAAAAAACTAAAAGAAAAAAGTTCTGCAGCGGGATGTCGAATCAGCGATCTCGTGCTCATCGTGCGATACTAACCACTAAGCCACAAAGGAAACAATCTCGAACATGTTGGCGGTGAGCTATTTATATACACCATGAACTACTGGTGGTCCTCAGAACTCAGCAACTTCAGTCTGTTCTTCTCACCAGTAGCGAGATGGCACGACAGCCACGAGTTTAGAGCGTGCGCTCTCGTGCTGTGCCTCCCCGCGCATCGCTATGCATGCCCGCCTCCGCATGGCGTGGTCAAAGTGCGTATAGATCTTCTCCAGCACGGTGGCTCACTCGCACACGCGCTTGTCTCGGTATTCGGGTGCTTGCAACGAAAGTGTGCTTTAAGTTACAGTACACGAAGATAACTTCGCTCACTGCCGCGGCCGTGTTCACGGAAGGAGTGCGCTGCTCACACACGAAGAAGAATTGTGACAGTTGTTCGCACTCATCCTGCTTATAGCCGTGCGTTCATTTCGTGCGTCTTTCTTTCTTTTTGAGCAGCGAGCTTTAAGTGTCGAGCTGTGACAGTTGTTTGCCTGCGCTCGTCCTATGTATGCTCATTTCCTGCGTGCTTTCTGCTTGAGGTGTGAACTGCAAGCGTCGAGCTGCTTGCCCTTCTTCGCGTGACATTGCAATTCGTTGCTAGCATTCATTCTTTCATCCTTGGGGCAAAACAATGCACAATGAATGCTCAGCTACCACTGCAAAGACACGTTTCACTATCATCTTATACCGATTCTTAAAAAGAGAGATCAGTCACGTTTTTTGTCTTCAAGTTCCGTCATCCGCAGCGGTCACCATACAGATGGGCATGCGGTGTTGTTAGTTCACCTTATGCTTTATCTGGTCAATCATGTCTTGCAAGTGTCCTCACCTAAAAAGTATATCTTACACCGTAGTTTTGGGTTGGGGTCTACGCACTTGGTTTGATTGATGACGCAAAGTGCAGGTGGCAAATGTTGCCTCCCTTTATCACTGAAATTAGCGCTCCTCAAATAATTCTACGGCTGGTCGGGCATTTGGTACAATGTGGTGCAACTTCAGCGAATTTCATGATTTTGGTGCAACTCGGCGCAACAATGGGGAATTGTATCAAATTGGTGCAGCTGTTGCATGCCTGCCAATCTTTTACCACAAATTTATTTTAGAGCTAAGTGTGTATAAATGTTTTTGTTTTTGTTAGACATTTGTCACTCATTGCAGAAACGTTGTTAGGCATCGTGACCACTGTTTTGACGGTAAGACGTTATGGTGTTTTAAGAAGGTGAGTTCCACTGTCAAATTAAAATACATTCGAACCTCAATATATCGAACGGCGCGGCGAACGCAAAATAGTTCGATATATTCAGAATTCGATATAAAAAAATCACGAAAAAAATGCGTCAACAGCTTGCTGAAAACAACCAACGAATCGTTCCAGAGTGGTGCAGTAAATACTCACTTGAAGATTCAAACATATTATTTATTGTGTTGGTTTAAAATATTGAAAAAGAGTAGCCTGCTTTTTGTTGGCCATGATGTGTTTGACGACTGCGTCCTCAATATAGTCCAGCGATCCATAAGTGATAGGCCGGTGCCTTTAATCGCGCCGCAATGGCGCCGCACAAGCCAAGGCAGCTACGACCTCAGCTGATGTCGGGAGTGGGGCACCATCAGCGCTTGCGGGATCCACCTCGGCAGAGTCTTCATTTGGCTGCTCAGCAGTAGCTATGGCGACAATCTCCACATCCGTGAGCTCCGCCCTGAGCTTTGCACGAACACTGCGAGCACAACGACCGATGCCTGCCGATGCTACGAGGAAGGAGCTTGCAACAAGTGCGCAGTGTGCCGTTGACGCCATAGAGTGCCGTTGTCAGATAGGAAGGAGACGCGGCGCCGAAGCGCTTTGTCCCAGAGTCACACTTACTGCAACGACTGCAAGCTGCAAGGCTGCAGCGTGAGTCCGGGTGTAAAGCGCGTACATGGCGCGCCCATGCCAGCTCACCTGACTGCTTTCCCTTTCCCGGCAGCAGCGCGGGCCGCGTCCGAGACAGTCGTCTGCGTCCTTTCTCTCCTATACTTTCCTCCTCAATCTTTACCTCCCACTTCCCCTTTCCCCGCGCGAAGCCGTGTTGGTGCCTTCGTATTGAAAGAAAATAACAGCTCCATGCTTTTCTCTTCACTTTCCTCATTCAAGAACCTCTGCCGCAAGGCTGCGGCACGTACGCCGCTACGTTAAAGTGGCGCTCTCGGCGCCATCGATGTGTGCAGCATTCGTAAACGCCCGCCGCTCTACCCCTACTTTCGCGAGTTGCGGGAAAGCTCGCCGCCTGTCAGTGGAGCGCAGGCGGTTTGAGGTGGCTGAGTTCGATATATCCATTATATATCAAACTTTGTTCGAAATAAAAAATCAATAATGCATGAGATTTCCCGCGTGATATAGAAACCGTTCGATATAGGCAATAATTCGATATATCCGTGTTCGATATATTGAGGTTTGACTGTATGTGGAAAGCGCCTTAGTCCTGCTTAGTTCAAAACTATCGCACCAACTTAAGACTGTCGAGCAAGCAGTGGAGGCTGCGCGCGAGCAACAGTTTCCAGTGGCCACTAGGCAATCCATTTAAACAGATATGCCATGCCGTCCACACAAATAAGAAAATATTTATTCTAGGCCGATCAATAGAACTGGCTCAAAAGGCCTGTACAAACGCTTTATTATTGCACTACACTTTGCTGCTGTGCAGGGGCCCCATCAAGTTACTGTACCTACCGTAACAGCACTTGCTCTTCAATTTGAATTTGTGCTGCAATTTTTAGTAACTGCTGCTGGTGATTCGAGCCTCTCGTAATCATTATGTCCGACACACTGTGCATGTGTCAGCAGAGCTTGCCTACCCCATACTGATGCACGAAATAAAAGCGATCATAACACAGCCCCCCCCCCCCCCTGCAGTTCGGATATTACAGACTTCAGATAATACGGACTCATTTTGACGGACCATTCTAACGAGAATGGACTGCACCACAATGTCGTATTTTCACAAGGCTCTTGTAAGGCAATTATAGGGGTGTAATTGTAATAGCTCTATTGGTACATAAAACTTCTGATATTTGAGAACTGCAATTCTCATGTAAAAATAAAAGAAGCCATAAACATCAAACTCACCATCTCCTTCTCAAAAAGCTCGCACAGGTGCCCCAAGCCAATGTTAGTAAGAAACTGCAAAAATTCTTTGTTTTGTGTTGCCAATTCAGCCAAAGGAGCAGCCCCTTCGCTGGCTGCTGAGCCCTCTCGAACATGACCAGCTCGCTGTGTCGATAGCAGGCTCATGGCAGCAGGAATTTCAGCTTCTAATGCTTCCAATGATAATGCTGACAGTGGATTTGCTCCTAGCCCATTGGGAGGACACTGCGACTGAACTGTTGATGCTTTAGCCGAAGGAGGAAGGGCATGTGGAGGCATGGCATCAGTCAGCAGGCAGCGCACGTCTTCTGCCTAAGAAAAAAATAAGCCACAGTTCTGCACGCACTATTACTATTATTGAAAGATAAAATTGACAACCACGTGATACAAGAGAATCCATACAGACTTTTCAGAAAGAAAGCTTAGTTGAGGAAAAATTCACAGTGAAAATTTGCGAATGTTGTGAACATTATGAAGATTAGCTGTGAACATGTAAATGCTGTGAAAATCATACTTTCCACTGGTCTTACAAAAAAAAAGAAAAAAAATTGAAATTACAGTTCTGGAGTTTCAAGGAAAAGGTTGAGTGCGGAGAAAAGGAGGTAGATGAATGGAATGGGCATATTAAGAGGGAAAGCGCAGCATATGCTTGAGTGAAAGCATATAAGAAAGGAAAGCGTGGCTGAGTGTGAAGGGTGAGAGTAAAGCATAGTAAGCTATTTTGGGTGAAGGCAGGGAAGGGGGAGGGAGGCGAAAAAAGGAAAAGATGGCAGGGCAGAGTTTAACGGGAAGAGTAGAACCACTGCGCAGCCGCCCAAGCGCAGGTGGTATGAAGTTAGAAGTGACATGAGCCCGACCCAGAAAAAGGCGCACTTTCACAGTAGCAGTCATTGGTGCACATTTCAAATCTCCCAGAAAATGATGATGAAATGTGGGATTTAACATCCCAGAACCACCACATGATTATGAGAGACGCTGTAGTAGAGGGCTACAGAAATTCCAACCACCTGGGGTTTTTAAACGTACACCCAAATCTGAGCACACAGGCCTACAGAATCTCCCAGAAAGTGGAGGTAAAACAGAGGTGTTGTACGTCGAGAAAGGCTCAGACGCTGCTTGGCTAAAAATGTTTTATGAGGCAGGTCTGGCTACCGGCGACCACGCGCACGAGCTACTACCACAGCTGCCGATCATCATTATCTTCTTCAAAGACAGCGCAGCGTCCGTCCTTCAGATTCATTACAATTACTCCCCGCGAAATAAGAAGCCATCCTGCCGACCTATGGACAAGTAAACACGGGAGGGTTGTAGCAGTGCTTAAGTCTCGACTTGTGGACAATTTCCTGGCCACGACAACGTTGGTCAGAAGATGGCTCCAGTGGCTCGATGAGGCAATTCACCGGTGATGTTTTTTGTAGTATACAATATGGGCCATGATACTTCGGGATCAACTTGGTGGACACGCAGCTAGACAAGCGAACCTGGATCGTAGGAAGTAGAATAGATGCGTCATGGAGGTGCTTTTGGTGTCCTTGGTCTTGTGTTGTCCATGATCTTGCCAGTTGGCGGCATTCTTCAGCGTATGTAGCGACTTGAGACAGAGTCGTGGACTTTTAGGAGTCAGGCCTGTACAAAAGAACTGTATCTATAGTGCAAGAAGGTTTGCGTCCATAAAGGAGGAAAAAAGGAGAGAACCCAGTAGTGCCTTGAATGGCGGCATTATAGGCGAACATGATAGACGGTGACATTCGGTCCTAATTAGAGTGGTCTGACGAGATGTACATAGCATCTCACCGAGGGTGCGGTTGAAGCACTCTGTCATTCTATTGGTTTGCGGATGATAGGCACTTGTAGTGCGGTGAACGACGCGGCACTCACGCAACAATTCTGTGATGATGTCTGACAAGAACATGCGACCAAGATCGCTCAGTAACTGTCGAAGTGCTCCATGACATAATACGATGTTATGAAGAACGAAAGTCACAACATCCTTTGCTGTAGACAAAGAAAGGGATGAAGTTTCGGCATACTGTGTGAGGTGGTCGACAGCAACTATGATCCAACAGTTACCGTCTGCAGCGTTGGCAGGGGACCATAGATATTGATGCCGACACGGTCGAACAGTTGGGAGGGGCATGGTAAAGGTAACAAAGTACCCCTGGCGTGATGAGGGGAAGTCTTTAGTCTCTGGCACGTCGAGCAAGCCCAAACGTACTGTCAAATGAAATGGTACATGCCACACCAGTAATATCGGAGCCGTATGCGAGAATAAGTCTTTAGGAAACCTGCGTGGCCACATTGGGGGTCGTCATGAAACGTGGAACGAATTTCGGATCGCAGATGACGTGCAATCACGAGTAGCCACTGACGTCCAGCGGGTGCGTCGTTGAGTCGGTACAGCGCGCCGTCGCGAGAAGTGAAGTGCTCAACTTGCCGACGCAACGTGCTGGTAGAAAAAGAAGCAGTGCGACCAGCCAAAACGTCCAGAATGAAAGCAAGCCACGGGTCCTTACGCTGCTCAGATGGCATGTCAGCGATGGTAATGGCAGTGGTATCACAAATAAGACTTGTGCAGCAAGTAGGGTCAGCCGACAGGTGTGAACGGGAGAAGACGTCTGCATCCGCATGATTCCTGCTGGAACGATACACCTTGCGGATATGGTGATCAGTCACGACGTCAAAAGGACACCTGTACACGTAAGGTCGAAATTTCTTTATCACCCAAATGATGGCGAAGCATTCCTTTTCAGTGACGGAATAGTTGGTTTCGGCTTTGCTAAGAGTTCGGCTTGCGTAGGCAACCACGTACTCTTAGAAGCCGTCTTTCTGCTGCACAAGAATAGCGCCTAGCCTGACACCACTAGCGTCAGTGCAGATCTCTGTGAGTGCCAATGGGTCATAGAGTCGCACAATAGGTGGTGACGTGCAGATCTCTGTGAGTTCCGATGGGTCATGGAGTCGCAGAATAGGCGGCGACGTGAGGAGGCGGCGCAGTTCATTGAAAGAATCGTCACAGGTGGCAGACCAGGCGGAAAGGTCTTTAGAGCCAGTGAGGAGCTTGGTCAAAGAAGCGATGATCGTCGCGAAATTGCGGACGAAGCGCCGGAAGTAAGAGCAAAGGCCTATGAAGCTTCGGAGCTCTTTCATGGTGGTCGGTTTGGGAAATGCTGAAACGGCTGTAGTTTGGCAGGGTCGGGAAGAATGCCGTCCTTCGAAACGACGAGGCCAAGGATCGTAAGCTTTCAAGCAACGAAATGGCACTTCTTCAAATTCAGTTGCGGCCCTGCGGTGGAGAGACAAGCAAGGATTTTCTCGAGCCAAGTTAAATGGATTATAAAATCACTTGAAAAGACGACATTGCCATCCAAATAACAAAAGCAAACGTTCCATTTGAGGCCTTGAAAAATAGTGTCCATTATTCGCTCGCAAGTACCTGGCGCATGGCACAGGCCGAAGGGCATGATTGAATTCATACAACCCGTCGGGCATGACAAAAGCAGTTTTCGTGATCGGCCTCTGCCATGGGTGCCTCCCAGTATCCAGAGCGCGGATCTAAAGAAGAGAAAAATTCGGCTCCCTGTAGACAGTCCAAGGCATTGTCAATGCCTGGCAGCGGATAGACATCCTTGCGCGTGATTCGGTTGAGACGTCGGTAGTTCACGCAGAACCTAATGGATCCGTCCTTCACCAGCACAACTGGAGAGGCTCGATTATGCCATTGTCAACTTGTTCATTGATGTAACGACGTTTGGCAGTTGACACACGATATGGTCACTGTCGTAATGGTGCCTTTTGACCGGTATCAATTTGGTGAACAACTTTGGTTAACAACAGATAACGCTTGACCTAAGGAAGACTGATTGTGGTCAAACGAGGCTCGAAAATGCTGGAAGAGCTTGATCAGCTGTTCCTGCTGCCCAGGCATGAGGCGGCAATCAATGAACTTGCGGAATACATCCATAGGGTCATTGGCGTCAGTTGCGGGTGTAATAGCACAAGTCGGTAGAATGGCTTGTCTGGATACATTGCGTTTTCGAAAATACAATCTAAGGTCTCAAGGCTCCCCAGACACTCGCTGCGTAGCAGGATGTATAGAAAAGCAGAGACTTTGCATGCATAAAGTACCGCCGAACCAGTGGAAAAGTTGATGACGGCAAACGGGAGGACGATGGTTCAATGGTGCGCACTAGCCACAGATGATTGGAACAGGAGTATTGAGTTAGTGGCAGCAGGGGAAAACACAGGCACTAGGATGGTAGACAAGGGCGCGATGTGGACATCAGCTGCGGCAAACACTTTAGAGGGACTGTGGTGGTTAATATCAGGGCACGGATTCGTCAAAGTGAGTTCAGCACGAGCGCAGTCGACGAGGGCCTGATGAGTAGAAAGGAAATCCCGTCCTACTATGACGTCGTAAGATGAACGTGGAAGAAAAACAAACTTGACAGCGTGCCAAACATCTTGAATAAAAACACATGCTGTGCACTGAGCCGTCGGCGCGATGAAATGGGAGGTGGCTGTACACAGAGCAAGATTAGTAAGCGGTGTTGCAACTTTTCTCAAATGACGACACAGTTTTTCACTGATTACAGAAACGACGGCGCCTGTGTCGACAAGTGCACGTACGGCAACATCTTCTACAAGCACATCAATTTCATTGGACGGACAAAAAGGAGGTCTTGGAGAGTTAGACGACAACGAAGTTCTAGCTTCCGGAACTGCGGCTGACAGTTTTCCTCTCGTGCAGGGTTTGTGCGCCGAAGCATTGGGGAGACAGATGGCGACGGGGCGGTAATGACCGGCGGGAGTCGAGAAGGCATTGTGGGGATGAGCTGGCGATAAGGGAACATGGTCGCTGAGGATTCTGGGCAGCTTGGTGATTTGTAGAACTCCCATGGGCAGAAGCTGGAAGTTGTCTCACAAAACCGCACGCAAAACAGATGGGTCAATTATCGAAGATGCGCCATGCGTTAATGACAGAACGAGCAGGCGGCGAAGTAGGATGGGGTACCGTGTATGTAGGCAGCGCCGTCGGGTAGGAGGACCCGGTGTCCCAGTATGCGCCAGAGACAGGTGGGGTTGGTGGTCTAGCAACGACGGCAGCGTAGGTCAGCAGCGTAAGGACAGGTGGCGATGAAGGCAGTGCCTGCGTGACCTGTGTCTTAATGACCTGGCGTAGACGTGGGTCTAACGAGGTCACTGGCTCGGATGCTTCGGCCAAAACGAAAAGTTGACGCACAACTTCATCACGGATAAATTGTTTGATGTGGGGCAGTAAAACGGCCTGATCAGCAGCGACGTCGTGCACGAGGGCGAAAACTTCAGCTGTATCTTTGCAGCCCTGCACGCCGAGACGCGCTGCTTACACAACTTGTTGCACTCCCAACACAGCTGCAAAACGTTGGCGACAGTCTGTGGGTTCCTAGTGAGGAGCATCTGGAAGGTATCGTCGTCAACTCCTTTGATGATGTGCTTGATTTTGTAATATTCAGCTAGAGATGCATCGACGCACTTGCAAAGAGACAAAACACAACTTGTTGCACTCCCAACACAGCTGCAAAATGTCGGCGACAGTCTGTGGGTTCCTAGTAAGGAGCATCTAGAAGGCATTGTCGTCAACTCCTTTGATGATGTGCTTGATTTTGTCATGTTCGGCTAGAGATGCATCGACGCACTTGCAAAGAGACATAACAGTCTGTGGGTTCCCGGCGACGAGCATCTGGAAGGTATCGCCGTCAACTTCTCTGATGATGTGCTTGATTTTGTGATGTCCGGCTAGAGATGCATCGACGCGCTTGCAAAGAGACAAGACATCTTCGATGTAACTTGTAAAGGTCTCATCCCAGTGCTGGACTCGACTACACAGATGCTGTTCCGCGCGAAGCCGGCGCACGGCGAGACGACCAAAGACCGCGGCAATGGTGGTCTTGAAGGCGAACCAGTTGGTGATTTTTCTTTCGTAGTTCTTGAACCAGAGGCAGGCCACATCAGCGAGGTAAAAGCACGCATTCGTGAGCTGGTCGCAGGCGTTCGGTTTGTTAGAAGAGCTTACGATTTCGTACTCGATGAGCCAGTCCTCAACGTCTTGTTCGTCGTTGCCGCGAAAAATTGGTGGGTTCTGTTGTCGAGGCACACCAATACAGAAGACTGTCGTTGGTGGGGCAGCTTGAGAGGGGCCAGGAGCAGTCATGGTGAACGGTGAGGGTAGCGTCTGATTGCGAAGTTCCAGGCTGATGGGAACCCCGGCTCCTCCACCACTTAAAATAGAGGTGTTGCACGTTTACAAAGGTTCAGACACAGCTTGGCGAAAGGTGCTTTATGAGGCAGGTCTGGCTATCGGCGAGCGCATGCGCGAGCTACTACCACAGCCACCGATAAACATTGTCTTCTTCAGTAACAGCGGAGCGTCCGTCACTCAAATTCATTACAGAGGTTACAGAGGTTTGAAATATGTGCCAATGCTTGGATAAGGGCACGTGCTCAGGATTTCAAGGTACACATATGAGTGGAATGTAGACACTTTCTTTGGGCCTTTTGTATGCCTTCTAGCAGAAGTGATTATGTTGCTCGAATTCTGACCCGAAAATAACAGATTTAATCCTGGCTGCAGCTGTTGCATCTTGGTGGAAGTGAAATACTAGAGGTCCATGTACTGAGCCATGTCAGGGCACATAAAAGAACACCAAACGCTCGAAATTTATGGAACCCTACCCTGTGGCATCTTTCATAATTACATCGCAGTTTCAGGACACCACATATATTTTGACCCAAAGATAGAGACAACTTACTGCTGCGATGTCCAGAGGTGTCTGGCCTTCATGGTTCTTCATTGTTGAGTCTGCCCCATGTGCCAGCTGGAAAAAGACATAGTTTCGTGTGCCATGTGTGCCGAAATATCACAAGTGAAGTTAGGACGTTTTGAAATCACTAAATACATTGTGTTTTACCATGCAAGTTACACTACCATCTGCAAATAATCTAAATAATTTGACAGAATTCCACTTTCTCCAACAGAAGACTCTATATGAATCTGACTGTCTTAAGCCGTCATGTAACATATTCCGAAAATAAACAATACATAATACTCCTGCACACACAACACTTTAAAAATGTTGAGATATGTTCGTTTACTTGAGTCATGTGTACGGATTTATTCGTGACAGGCGCCAAGGATTATGTAGTCGTATATACCCTGCTCTGCGTGAAATGCTGGTATGATCTACCACTGCGTCACAAATGGTAATGTTCCCTGCACGTAAGAGCACCGCTAGTAGCAATGATTTTAAAACTAATGCCAGAAGGTCGAAATTAAATCTTCCGAAGGCACACTCAGCGATGTGGCCCAATTAATGATTAAACATCCATCACCTCAATGAGGCAACTGGTTTTGCACGCCATGTCCACCAACTGATAATCAACTGCAAGGAAAATTAATATACAAGGGGGCTATCTAAACTGGCACTTACGAAGCGACAGCACCATTGCTACAATTCAGCACAAATACAAAATCTGACAGCAATAAGGATTTCTGCACATAATCTCAACAACAGTCAATATGAATAATTTCGGTGACATGAGGCCCGAAAATGATTGCTAGAGAAACATGAAACTAAATGTGGTGGTGCATGAGCAAGTACCTAGGTACACGAAAAAAATAGGCAAAATAGCTACAGCGCTCGAGGGTGACCGCATTCAAGATATTTCGCGAGACTCGATACTGCACATGAGTGCGGGTCTTGGCACACCAGTAAAAGTGTTGTCCGTAGATACATGCATCACTCTGATATAAATAACCCTGGTAGAGCGAAAATGCACATAACTCTTAAAGGAATCACACATGAACGATTCAACCTAAATATGTAAATACAGTAGACTCACAATAATTCACTCCGATAATTCATATTTTTGCTTGATTCAAACCAAATTCAATTTTTCACTTGGCCCTCTATTATTTATATATTTAAAAGCCTCTTAATTCAACTCCATCATTCGATTATTTCATACTTTTTGCATTTTCATACCAGAAAATATATGCTGCTTTTCCACTATTATTTAAAAATCTGTTTGCTTATATAATCCTCAAAGTCTAAAAATAAAAAATAAGTACCTGAGGCCTTTAAGGAAAAAAGCTTTGTAAATAAACAAATGTTTGAAATGAAGCACACGCATGGTTAACTGTGATGCTTCTCAAGTGGTATAGAGAGCTTTGTGCTGAAGGCACATACCTATAGCAAAGAAGCAGTTGGCAATTCACGATTTCTTTAGATCTGATCAGCAGAAAATAACTAATAAACTTGTGGATTTCACACTTCTGCTTTCTGTTTACTGCGTGCAGTTACGACTTAAAACACTTGAAAAATTTTTAAATGTGTGAAATCAATGCCTGATCATAATGTGTCGTATCACCTCACCCAGAGTCATTTATCTAAGAACTTCTGATAATTTTAACTTCTTGATAATTCAAACAAAATTCAGAGGTTCCTTCGTGTTTGAATTAACAAGAGTTGACTGTATAGAGTCTTGCACCTCAAAATCACATGATTATGCACCAATGAGATTAGTTTGTTGTATCTAAGCAGAAGCTTGTTCTTGCTCTTCACACCCGTCAGAATGTGACTGCAGTGGCCAGGAATGGAATACATCAGTAGCGTTGGCCGGGTAACACAGACCTGTTCACTCCTATGGAATTGCCTACAACCAAGCTCGGGCACTGTTTGTGATTGAGCATGTAGTGCCATCATCATCATCATCATCATCATTTTTTCCATCATCGCGCCGCGTCTCTCGCGCAGCTGGCGCGAGCTCGAGCTGCGCGAGCTCGAGCTGCGCGAGAATGAGAACGAGCTTCTGGCCTGGCGGTTTGGACGCTGGTAGTCGACGTGGCTCCTCTTCAGGCCTGCAATAAAGTGGCGAGATTGGCACGGCCCCGTCGGCCGCCTTCGACGTCTTCTCACGTCTCCTCTTCTCTCGCTGCTACATTGGTGACCCGGAGAACACGCCCTTCGCCGAGCGGCCCGCGGCCATGTTCCCGCAACTCTGCCCGCCAGTGCCACCGTTCCAATCGACCTACCCCAAGGTATGGTTCATGCAGCTCGATGCCGTTCTGGCGCTGAATGGCGTCACGGACCAGCTGCAGATGCACGCCATTCTTCTCGACGCCCTCCCGGTAGAGTTGCGCCATCTCGCTGCCACTTCAAGCACCAGCCCGCAGCCTTACGATGCCCTCTGCACTGCGGTGCTCGCCCGCAGCGGCAACACATACCGTCCGCTTCCGTTTACCCGCACCAGGCAGGTTTCCCCGGCGTCGCAGAGCAAGGTACGCACGCAAGCGCACGCAGAGCAAGCGACGGCACGTGACACCGTGGCCATCGCCGTTTCCGCGACCACCAGCTCAGACGTCTCGGCCTCCTCCTCCTCGCCGCAGCTGCTGGTCAGCTCCTCGACGGTGCCCCCTGCCGCTCACCTGCCACTGGTGCCAGCAATGGCCTGCCGGGTGCCTCGCCACATTCCACTCGCACCTCCCCGGCCAGCAGCCGACCACCCTCGGCGTCCCCGCTCCCCGCCCCAGTCCCTGTCTCTGTTTCGTGGTCTATGACGGGCCCCAGCGCCGTGTCTTCGCGGAGCCAGAGCCTGCCCTCATCGTCGGCGTCGACACCGGCAACCACCAAATCAACTGCCACCGTCGCCCCTCTGCCCGTGGCGCCGCAGCAGGCACCTGCGTCGAGACCCGGCGTCGCATAGGTGGTTTCGGCCAGCCCCAGTCCTCGCACCTCTGGTGCCCCCCGGCTCATCCAGCCGAAACAGCCACAGATCCTGCCCAAGCTGTCGAGCGGCAGCGCGAACATGACGATGCCTTCGGCAGCGGCGACCACCCGGTCCCAGTCTCCCCGGGCAGCCCAGCACAAGGCCACACCGCGGCCCGCGCCTGTACCGGCGCCGCAGCCTGCGACCACGGTGCAGCGCGGGGCCGCGATGGGGCTCAACACGGGGAGTCCGCTGCTCATCGGGAACCCCGCGGCAGCGCAGCCGGGCATGTTTCCGGCTGGACCTGCGTAGGGCACTTTCCTGCTGAACCAGTACATTCCGAGCCTGGGCCACAGCCCGATTCCGATACAAGGCGCACTGGGGCAGACCCAGAGCTCTCTGGGACAGATACAGGGGGTCCCACTGGCCCTGCGGCCACCCCATGCCACGGGCCTGACCCTGGGACCTCAGACGGGGCCCAGGCCCCATGGGGAACATCCAAGACCGCCTGGCACCCCGACGCTTGTCATTCCACAGAACCTGGGGCCAAAGCCCAACATCTTTCTGGCACTGCCACGCATGATGTCGCCCCCCTCGTTTGCCATAGTCCCGGGACAGCCACTGACGCTGCAACAGCTGCAGGCCATGCTGCCCACGCAGACCATGCTGGCCCAGCCCACACTGGGCTGTAGCTACAAGCACAAGCAAAAGCAGACTTTTCATTGTTTTACCAGGAACATTACAGATTCTGTTTTCGTCATTCATCTGCAGCTGGAGACCAGCAAAAAGCAAACGCAAACAGCATAACAGCGCATGACGTGAGCGTATCATCTGTGGCAGGCATCAAAGAGTCCGCACCGTGACGTCACCCAGGCCTCTCGCCAGGTGGCGCCACCCCAACTTCTCGTGCCTAACACACATTGCAAGTGCAGTGTATAATCTCTTACGAGACTTCACTTTTTCAGAAGTTGCCTGCTAATAGGATAGAACATACACACATTAACCAATATTTAAAGGAACACCTACACATTGTTAAATATCCTTATCATCATAATTATCAGCCTACCTTATGCCCACTTCAGTATGAAAGCCTCTCCCAATAATTTTTAGCTCACCTTGTCCTGTGCGAGTAGAGTCTATTTGATGCCTGCAAATTTTCTTGCGATAGCAATCCTATTGACAGCCTGGACAGTTTTTTGCCATCGAGTCCAAATCGATAAGATCACCCAGCGCATGATACGTTCTACCCGTGGGAATAGTGTGCGAGCAAAGGCAATGAACGCGACTGAAGCGGAGATAAAGTGAGCCGGCCCATCTCTGTCACTCCGAGGCAGATGGAATAAAATCCCCCTACCCTGTGTTCGAATGCTCAAGTAGAGAGGAAACGTCCTGGCAGTCTTTAACAAGCCTGAAAACATGTAGGAGGGGGGTCCTTTTATGAAACAACTGCGACCATTGATTTTATGAACACGGTCATCACTGGTGCGTGCATCATCGAGTTATTTCAGCGGCCGTCAGCGGGTGGCTCGCATACAGTTTTACATGCTATGCTCTCAACGCAAAGGAAATGTGCGAAGAGTGCCACTGGAGTGGCCGTATTCTTTTAAAGTAGCGTTTTGTAGAGTTGCACGAGATCGGATCCAAAAGAGCCAGTCTCACTGGGTATAACCTATCACAATTACGAGCATTTTTTTCACAATTGCAGTGAAACTTACTTTCCTTTTTTTAATTTTGTAGCTCCACCTGACCCTTTGCTGTCCCATTTCTCAGTATGCACTGCAACAGTAAGACTACTGGTTATATTGTTACCACATATACAATTTTGGTATGTGCATCTGTGTAGCGGGGAACAGGGTGGTGCCAGACGAAGAGGACATTCGGTTGGTGGCAAGAGGTCTCTGGTGCTTGTTTATTGTATACCCTCGAGTCGACCGATACGTCGCCTCTGAATAAACTCCTCTCATAAACGTAACAGAGTGGAGGAGATACTGGGTACAGCACGTCGATGAACCACGGAGCCACAGCTGTTTGAACTTCACCGGAGCCGTCGTCTTGCCAGTCTGCCATCGACAAGAACTGTCATGGCCGAGAGCGAAGGTCACGGCTTCTC